ACATATCCTAGCTAACAAACACAAAAATATTCTCTGTTCAAACGTTTTAAATGACCAAGGGGTAAAGCAAAAACAAGGTCTAAACATCCTTATCATTCTTCTCTTGGGGAACAAGTATCCCTTAACAGCAAAACAGAAACACATCCGGTATAAATCCTCTCTGCTCTGTAAGGATACTTTGAGAAGAGAGCAGAAGGGGACTTTAGTAATTAGAGAAACAGACTGTAAGTATAGTTTTCAGATTTTAGTCACACATTTAAATTCACTAATTGCAAAACAAACAAATAAAAACTAGAATAAACTTAAGAGGTGGCCTCTGCATTTAAGCTCATTAATGAGGAAAGACAGGATAGTATAACTACCAAGACCACCTTTCACTACTTCCCTCTTCAATTACTCCTTCTGTTCATTTCCAACCAGCTGTTCTTTCAAAATTTCCCAAGCCCTTCTGTTTCAGCTTCACCTAGGCAGGACTACAAACCCCAGATATATCCTCCAGCTCTCAAAGCCCCCAATCATCTGATACATCACCAATCAGATGGAAAATACTGTAGTTTCAGTGCCTTTAAGACATAAGAAATACTGGCATAATCTCAAACACAGAACTGCATGTGCTACAAGGGCAAACACTGTCTGGGCCTCCTGCACGTGATAGCACACACGAGAGTTTATATGCACGTTATCCAGGATGCAGCAGTACATAGAGAACCCCAGGCCAGGGGACAGAGAGACGGAGCAGAGGTGGAGGACAAGCTCGAAGCGACCCATAACCCTGAGTGGGATGAACTCATAGAATCATTGAAGAGTTTCGGTTGGAAGAGACCTTCAAGATCATCAAGTTCAACCTTTGTCTTAGCCCTACCAAACCATGTCACTCAGCATAACATGTTCCCATCTCTTAAACACCTCCAGGGACAGTGACTCAACCCCCTCCCTGGGCAGCCTGTTCCAGTGCCTGACAACCCTCTCAGGAAAGAAATTCTTCCTAATATCCAACCTGAACCTCCTCTGGCACAACTTAAATCCATTTCTCCTCATCCTATCACTCTCCACTAGGGAGAACAGACCAACTGCCACCTCGCTACAACCTCCCTTCAGGTAGTTGTAGAGAGCGATGAGGTCTCCCCTCAATCTCCTCCAGGCTAAACAGCCCCAGATCCCTCAGCCTTTCCTCATAAGACTTATGTTCTAAGCCCTTTCCCAGCTTGGCAGCCGCCTCTGTACCCTCTCCAGCACCTCAGTGTCCCTCTTGTAGTGAGGGTCCCAGAACTGACACAGCACTCGAGGTGCAGCCTCATCAAGGTCGAGTACAGGCTCCACTCACGTGGAGGGAGAGGGTTGCCTCCTGTGAGATAGACAGGATGCAGCAGCAGAGGAAGACTGCGAGGAGCCCTCCTCCCCAAGAAGGAGGAATTGCCATGGACAATGAGTAATGGCCAGAGGGACTGCATCCCCCATCCTCTGCCTACCCTTGTACCGACAGAGGGGGAGTAGGTAGCTGGGAATATGGGGGAGGAGTGTTTTTAAGATCAGGTTGTATTCATTTATGCATTCTTCTCACTATACTACTCTGAGCTAGCCAATAAATGGTAAATTAAATTTGTTTTTCTCCCCAAGCCTACTCTGATTTTTGCCCATGACCACACGTACATGGTGAATGAACCCCCCTCTGTCCTAACCTCAATCCTTGAGCCTTTTTAGTTGAATTTTCTCCCTCCACATCCCGGTGGGGATGAGGGTAGGGGGAGGAGTGAGCGAGAGGCCGCATGACTCTTTGTTGTCAGACAAGGCAGTCAGCTCGAACCAGGACACATCAGTACTAAGAAAATAACAAAATCTTCTTTAGTGACCATGGGGATTTTTTGTAGCACTAACTATCCATAGCTTTCATGGCACTCGTTCCTCAAAACGACAGATCAACTAATAAAACCAAAATCTTTCCCAACACAGTAAATCAAAGCGTTACAAACATGCTTTTTTGTTTCTCTTTATCAATGTATAAAAGAACAACTTCAACTGCTCCTGTTGTACGAATGTAAGCTGAATGGATCCATTACATTATCACATTAAAATAAAGAAGAGTTATTTTGCAATGTATCTGGCTGTCACAGAATGATCAGTATTATCCACAAGTATCTGAGATCTATTTATTAATGTATTTATTACGATACTATTAACTTGTGATTAAATCCACTATTAATCATAAACAGTTAATCACAAAGTAACTAGAGCAACAGGCCATCATTTCCAGTTTTTACCAGAGATGCTGAAGGAAAGCAGCTTGCACAGTGTATTCTTTATGTATTTCACAAGTGACACTGGCTTCATGTTTCTGAAGAATTACTCATTATTTTTAAGCTTTTCATACGTCTGATTTTTTGAAAAATTAAGCTTCTACATAAAAATGAGTTTTCCAAACAGTTCAAGACTCTTTTTTTTTGTTTAACACTACAAATATTCTTTTAAAGCTACAAATATTAAGGCTTTTAAATTACTTGTACACCTGCTTGACCCTTCCATCAAAGCAGCGGTTTTTGCCTGGAATGCTACAACTAAAACCTTGTGCAATAACTTTTTGCAAATTCTGTCTTACGATAACAGAGCCTCGGGAAGAACAAAACAGAACAAAAACTCAATTCAACTGAAAGGAACAACATGAACTTGAAGAACATGGTGATTACACTCCATTTCAGAAAGGCAGAGTATATTTTAGCCTGAACGATTTCAGTGAAGGTTTAGTACTGTTACTGCTACCACCACCAGGGACAGAAGAAAAAACATTTTAGCAAGATATTTGCACTTACTATGGATGTAGATGTACCACTAGAAGCAGTGGCACCCAAAAATAATGCAGATGGCTCTGAGCCAGTAATACAGTTCAGTCATTCTCAGCAGGACTAATTACCCCAGGCAAAGCACCATGCTAGCATGGCCGTGTAATTTCTATTAATCAAATCAGTTCACTTACCCCTACAGAACAGCACATTGTGCTACGAAGACATATGCTACATTATTTTGGAGGACACCAGGTCTTGCACAAGGCAGCAAATTGCAATGCATCCATATCCATTAGCAAAAGCACCACGAAAGCAACTTCTCCTTTCAGACTGATGTGTGTTGATTCTTAGGAGAAACTGTGCACAGCAATATTAATACCAACAACTCTGTCTGCTCTCTGTACTAGCAGGCAAAAGACCTCACTAACACGACAGTAACCAAGTGCTTCCTCAGTTCAGCTGCAGTCAGCACAAGATGTGGTTTGGCAATTGTGCACTATAATTTTTCCTTTGGAAGAGAAAAAAAAATTAAGTTCATCGATGAGTATACTGTGGGATGAAGGCAGCAATGAAAGATAGTTACCATGCTATCTAGGGCAGGTGTTCAGAGAGCTTACTGTTGCACATTTAGTAATACTTGTGTACAGACACATAACAAATACTTAATGTAACTTCAAAAACTGCAGCGTTAAAATGAAACAATTTATACAACGATATTTAACCTGAAGGACAAATATTACAGTCAGCCAATCTGCAATCACTTCAGAATAAATCTCTGTGTTTTAGTCAGACTATTTACGCTGTTTTAATACTCAGTAAGACACACTGCGGTAACAATAGATACAGGTAATTCAAACTTGCAATAGGTATGGATGAAATAATTGGTATAAAAAACCCTAAGTATGTACATTTACTATTAAAATGAGTTCTTTAACTTTTCAGCAAATCAGAACTGCTTCTTGAATTCTGACTAGTAGTGCTTAGTATTTTGATAAACACAAAACAATATTCATCATTGTTCCCAAATATTAAAAAATAACAGGAATAAATTAACATATTTCTTAAAAACAGTTGGGTGATGGAGAAATGGATAGCTTGCCTTCTTTCCTGGCAAAGGAAACAAAATTAAGCACACAACATTTACATTCACATAGTCAGTACCACCTTCCTTTTCCTGGTCACTGAGTTCTCCTAGAGAATATTGACATAATAGTTTTGTGGGTCAATTTTTTCAGCACTCCAGTAACATGATGAATTGTGTGAAGTTAACTTGAATGTCAGTCACAACCAGAAGAGAAGTAATTGTGTCAGAGGGGCAAGCTGAAGGTCTTTGAGGAGATTTATCTACTATTTCATCTGAAGGAGTGATAAGAAGAGGCTGAACTGAAGTGATGGCATGAATTTTCCTGTCACACTGTCCTAATACTCCAGGAGGTATCTGGGCACAGTGCCCAGTAAACCAAATCATGGGAAGCAAGTTTTACATTAAGCTGTTCAATTTTTTTTTAAAAAAAAAAAAAACAAACCACAACCCAAAACCTAAGCAACAAACAGGCACACCACCAAAAAATAAACCAATGAAAAAAACGAAAACAACAGAGCAAAACTTCCCTGTAATACTTTTTTTTAACAGAGTTGAGGGAGCAGCATCTCTGCAAGTAAGAAAGGACTGGCAGCAGGTCAACTTAGTCCTCATGGTTCAAGACAAAACCATGTCTATCTAAACTATTTCTAGTATGTGCTTTGTCTAAACTGCTTTAAAAAAAACCTTCAAATACTGACTTCACAGCTCCCCTAAACTTACCATCACTGGAAGAAATCTTTCCTAATATTTTAGATTAAAATTTTCTTTGCTTCATTTCAGGCCCATGGCTTACTGTTTCAATCCCAGTGGATATGCAGAGGCATTTACTCCCTTTCCATCTGAAACACTTTTTTTTAGCTGAAGAATGTCACTCTGCCTCTCAGACCCCCTTCTCCAAACCAAAGAGCCACACACTTTGAGTTCCTCCACCCACTGCCCATATCTGAGACCTTCAGCCAATTATTATTGCTGTGCTCAGGACTTTCTCTAATTAATCTGTATCTTCCTTGAATGAGGTGCCTCAAAAGGGACCTGATACTCCAGCCAAAGCATGAATAAAAGATTTCTTTCAAGCGTCTTGCACACAACACCCCTCCCTGTAAAGATCAGTACAAATTTCATTGCCGACGGCATGCTGCTCAGAACAAACGAACAAGTGGTTTGCACTCAATTCGTGAGGAACCATCAAGCCTCTCTGCAAAACTGCCATCCATACAGTCATTACGGCTGCTACCTACAGCTACCGTTAGGACTTCACAATTGTCTGGAAGAGAAATGAAATCAATTCAGCTAAGACATATCTCCAATTTGCTACGAATATTCTTCATTCTAATCCTGTTTCCTAACATACTTCCCATTCTTCTCTGTTTGATTATTACTTGCAAATTTAATAAGGATATACCATATAACATCACTCAGATCATTAATGAAAACACTAGCCAGCTTGCAGAACACATTTCAGCAAAACCCCATTTGATATATTGCTGGGCAACAGTGAACAAACTAATGATGACTTTTGGGGTACGGCTTTCTCAAAACTTCTGCATTTGTTGCACAACATTTTCACCTGGATTATATTGCTGATCCTGTGAATGTGACACGGTGTCAAGAACCCTATTTAAAACAAACTACAAGACAGTCATTGATCTCTCTAGTCCTAAGACCTGTTCAAGCTGCCAATAAAGAAAATATAGTTGGTTAAACAGGATTCATTCATGAGAAAACTGTTGCCTACTATTTAATAGCACTTTTATATTCTGAACTCCTACAAATAGTTTATTTGTTCTAGAGTTTCTTTGCTTAAAGAAGTCAAGCTAATTTGAGTTGTCTAAATAAAATAGGAGCCAGGAGCCAGTGAGATTGATTTTCAACAGAGCGAGTTCTTGTGGAATCTCACCTCCCAAGAGTTCTCGAAGATAACCACTGAGAATAATGAGATTACTCTGAAAAGCAGTTAAGATACATTGGGATGAATGTACATTTTGTTTATATTTGTATTTATAAATATTTATATACATGCACACATATGCACATAAAGGAACACATTCTCCTTTCTGTAGAATAGGTCTATGTTCTAACAGCAACAGAGAAAAAGAAAGAAAAAAAATATTCTTCTTAAGTTTAAAATATTTGGAAAGATCTCGCTCTATTTAATGTCATAAACATTTTTAAAGATGGGGAAAACAGATCATGTGATGTGATACTACAAGACATAACTATAAAGTGTAAAAAGAAACAGTGAATTTCCACAAAGATTTTAATTCTCTCTCTATATCAAGCATTATCATTACTACTATACGATGCAAAATGGTTCACGAGCTGTAGGTAATACTATAGATAACTTCAGTCTTTAGAATGGTGTTCTCTTTTGGTGGAAACTCCAGTGTACTACATGTAGTAGGAATATTACAAAAAGCACACTGAAACAGAGAAACCTCAGAACTGGATGAGACAAGACCCTACCAATTAGGCAGGCAGAGAGAAGGTCGTCCTCCTCCACCCATTTCCTCTAATTTTGATTCGAACAGACACATCAGCTATATTCAGCTGTTCTTCCTGTTTAAATGATATCATGACCCACCTTGTTTAGCCTAGAAAGGTGCTAAGTCCAATTTTTTTCAAACCTCCATTTCACCCAGCATGATACATATCCTAATTAATTTCAGTTTTCTTCAACCAGCTGCACTTCTTTAAAAGAATCCTCAAAGCCAAGCTTTCTCTGAATTTCCCTCAAGTCTTCTGTTCTCACGTTAGGCCTAAATAACTGCCACATGTAAGCTTTGCATCCTCTTTCTAAAGAACACAACACGTTCATAGGGTTTTCTCCATCTCAGCTTGACTTCTGTAACTGACAGTAGTCTGTCTTTTCTCTACAATTATTTAGCTTTAAAGTAAGGTCATAGTCCTATCTCAACCCATTCTCTCTTTATACGTTACATGGAAGGCAGTATTGGGCTGGAGTAACTTCTATACTAAAGACACCCAAAACTGTATTTCCACAGACGCCTTTCCCTTTATTTTTTGGCTGCACAACTTAGTTACAGACTAACTCTGAGTTTACAAAAGAGCAAAATTACGGCTGCTGTGAGAGCCTGCCTACAAGTATTACAGGCTCACAAGGTCATTCAAGCAAGTAAATTCACCTGCTGTGAAATAAACTATACCCATATAGAGAGACTAGGAGTTTATTATAACTAAAAGTCTTGGTATTTATACCAGTAATGATGACATCAGTTATAAGTATTTAACAAGCAAAAGATATAAAACCTTTGTTGTCCAGAGGTAGCTCTGCAAGTGACAGCTGGAATTAACAACCAGTTAAGGTAACCACTCACTGTACGAAAAAGAGTTTCTTCATCTTCATCTGATCAGTTACCGGCCACTGTACAAACAGTAACTTCTGCACACTCACACAGACGACAGCAGATGTTCTAATACCTGCAGAGTTTCTTCTGTGAAAGGGAACTCTATATAACATACCATTTCCTTGTCACGTTATATTGTTTAAACTTGCTTCGGCATGTTTCTTTTTCACTTCATAAAATATTTATATTAAAATATCACCAAGAAGCACAGTCAGGGCACATAATTCACTGCATTAGGCACTGTGTGACATCTGAATATATCACTTGCTTTACCGATCCATACGCTGAATTGGACTGTATAATATGAAGAATCATCACTAAAGCAGCTAATAGCTTGTTCAACGGGCTATCACAGCTCTGTTGCTGCTTTGCTGAAGAACCCAAAGAGGAGTGTTGGGAGGGGCAGGAGAGGCAGAAGAAAGTTTGGGGGTTTATGTATAAACACACACACATACATATTAATCACATTTAATCTCTAAAAATTACGTAAGGAATTAAGTTTTTCTTCTTGCTGTGCCAAAGTGGGGAGTTAATTTCAAAGAATGTCAAAGTCCAACAGAGGAATTTTAGATCTACCTCAGCTCTAAATAGAGATCTCAGTGAAAATATTACCAAATACTTTTAGAGTGAAGTTCCTAACATCATCCACTGAGGCTGGAGAACAGCAGACTACTAGCAACTTAACAAAGTGTCCAATGGAAAAAAAAAAACAACTTCGTAGTAAAAGCTAATGTTTCTTGCAGTTCTGCTGATCGACTCATATTTCTGTCTAATTCCAAGATTCTATATTTTCTTCATATCTTATCCATAACTGCAAAATAAACTTCAAGACACAACTAAGAAAAACCTGTAAGTGAACTAACACAGATTTGCTGTGGAAAAGTATGTTGAATACATACACCTAAGCACACGTTTGTGTCCCCCAAACAGATATATAAAGTATATAAGTATGTAAAAATAAATGGTCAGTTATCTTAAAATTCTACACAGAGTAACCAATAAGCAATAAAAAGTTATCTCACACAGTATAAAGTGCAAAGCTTTCACAGTAACATGACAGTGCTGCTGATTCCAAAAAGCAGAAATTATATTGCACCACATGTACAACCGAATGGTAACAAACAATGGGAAGAATTTTTTCCTGAATGCGAGTCGAGAGGGATATTCAAAAATATCTGGCTAAAAACATAAATTAATATTAATCTTGGCCATGATCCCCAGTTCAAAAGCAAGCCTCTGTGACACAGAGCTCCCTGCCCAGTATCAGGCTTTCACATCACTCATCTCTTCCACCTGTTTACTCCCACCAGCTGCTGTAGTACTTCCCCTCCCAAAGCTTTCGTATCTCAGCACGGAATGACCGGCACCACGTCTGCTCCCCACGCTTCCCACCCTCCCGACACCACAGAGCCCTACACCACACTTCCCATCCTTCTGAAGCGCGGCATTTCCACTATCTTGTCTGAGCCTCCACTGCTTCATTGCCAGATTTTATCTGGCTATAAACTATCCGGAATTAAAGATTAATTAAGGATTAAATTAAGGATTAATTAAGGATTAAATTAAGGCCCACAAGCCTTGGCTTACCCCCAATGGACTGCAGGATGAAACTCAAAAGGGCTGTCTAAGGGGATGTGTTTCCCTTCGTCTTTAACAATAATTACTGAGACTTTTCTAAGCTTCAGGAAAAGACCAAGTATTTGAATACAAGAAACTCAAAAGATACTTTCAACTAAAGAGAGTGCCAGCTCTCTTTTTTAAATGGTGAAAGGAAGAAAAAGAGAGGAAGGAGAGTAAAGGCATTTTCTTTAAAAGAAAGAAATCTTAGAAACTACACAAGATAAACATCTCAGCTTTTACCTTTAAATTCTACTAATTATTTGAATAGGATCTAGCATTCAGATTAATCTCACAAGACTAGTTATTCAGGTAGTTAAAAGACAGTATTGCTTTATATATCCTAAAGATGTGAAGGGAGACCACAATGGGAAAAAAAATTATTGAAAAATATTCTAGCTTAGTATGTTACAATTGATGCTTAAGTGCTTCAGTCAAGCTGATATACTAAATAAACATATCCACTTTCCCTTTGCAACACAGCATCTGCTAATTACAAGACTAAGTCATTGTCTAATAATTTTTTGATTACACAGTATAAAAAGAGCAGTAGTGACAAATACACACAATAAACCCCAGTATGAGTCTGAATGTTTGATAGTCCAGCCCTCCCACAACCTATTTTTGGAAGCTGAAATTCGAATACCATTAAACCAAGGGAGAAACAGCTGGCAAGATAACACATACACCACCACCAAGTGATCTCCAAGGCTAATGGGGATGCTCCTCGCTGCATCCTGCAGCCCAGCCTGGAAGCACCCAAGCTTGCGAGAGTACGGAAAACAATTCAGCAACATTAACAGGAGCTTCGCAAGAACTATTTCATCATTCTTCCTAGAAGCCAATAAAATACGGGGTAAATCAGTTACCCCTGCAGCAGAACACGTCCAGTATCTGATTTAGGTTAGGTATCTGCATGCTGTATCACATACAGCTTTCATAAAGGTCACAGTGCCAATAACTTTCTTTTAGGACGTAAACTGGAATTCAAACTATGCCTTACTGTAGTGCAATGTCTTTCAAAAGCTATCTATGTATCTGCTGCCTCAGAAGGCATTTTATACAAGCACAAATCAGTAAGAAATTAATTGCTTCACAAGAAAAAACGCTGCCCAAAAGAACATAAGTTATTATCATTGACTTTTCATGTTATTAAATACCTTCATCTAGAGAAGTCATAGGAAAAAAATGAAAGTACTAATGAGTTCTGTCCATACCATTTCTCAGTTCAAATCAGAAAGCAGATGGCAAGAACCATAATAAAAAGTTTTGGGCGTTTCTTTGTTTTTTAAGTCAAACACTAGTGTGAGTCATATAAGTGCAAATTAAAAATGCCCCTAAAAATAACTAAGAAGGACTCACCAAGTTCATTGAGACTCTGGGCAGCTTTTGTTATCTCTCTGCTTCCTCCTTGCAGTTGTCCTTGAAGTCTCTTACTGAGATATAAGATGCGAATTATCCTCCGCAGCAAGTCACAGGCAGCCTGCAAAAATGTTGTGGCATTAGGGGATATTATCAGTACATTACCATCACATAACATTAGGTCTCAAGTACGGAAATATTTTAACCAGAAAAGGAATGACTACTGTGAATGCAACCAAGGAACTTTAGAACACCAAAATCCCTTTTTTGGGGGATTTTTAACAAGTTTTTATGCTATATAGACCAATACTTTCTAAAGCTGGTAATTACATTCACATGAGTACTCAGATTTTACTGTCACTACTAGTGAGAAAAAAAAGAAACTCAGAACCCAATGAGAGAGGTATATTCTACTTCTAACTAGAATTGAGCTTTATTTTATATTGTGCATCTATCCTCAATATTCCTTCCCTCTGTAAGCTTTAGCAAAATTAAGACGTTGATCTTGCCAATCAAATATTCATCTAAAATACGCAAAACGGCAACACTTACTTCTGATAACAATAAAATTTCATAGCTTATTATTCCATACGTTGACTCTTATGGTAAGAATATATGTAAAAATTCATTTTCAGCGAACCTTTCATAAGGTCAGTCACCTTCATTCAGCCAACTGGTGGTTCACATTTTTTTCATAGGTTAATTAAAATGCATGGCATTCTTGGCCAAAAATTAAGAAGATGGATGCATACATAAATTCTCAAGAAACATCTTTATGTATATTTTCATTAGCACCAATCTGGGAAAAATGGTATTGCTGACATGTGAATCAAACAACATAGTTTCCTAATTTTTCACTTGATTAAGATCTTGAAACAGGTTTTTTTCCTTCTACGCGGTAAATAACAGAGACAGAGAAACAGTAAGTCAAGTGGAGAGTTCCTTCAGGGCTGGATTGGTCAGTGGGGCTAGGATGTTCATGCTCCAGGAGCAGCAACGTTCTGGAGTGGGTAACATCTAAACTAGTTCAGAAATACCACTCAGGAGAAGGTAGAAGAGTGTGTGGATTTCAGTACAGTCATAGGTACAGTTTAACACCCGCAACCAGACTAAAAAGGCGGGTAAATGAGTAATTTGGAACCAGTAAGACATAGTTGTTTTGAGGTATTTTCCCTGGTACTGAAGGCAAAGCCTCCTGAAACATCTACCTTGTGAACAGCAAGATTAAATTAAAATTACTTTAAGAAATATTTAGTATCTGACAGACTTCGAAACTATTTTTCAGGCTCAAGTTAATGTGTTGAAAACTAACATGAAAGTGCACATATGAAAACATACACAAGTGAGTCATTTCAGCCTATATTCAGTGGACTGCACAACTTCTCACTTTCTTCCCTAGGACAGCACAAAACAACTGAAACACAAATATTTACAGTTTAATCTTATTAAACATCTAGAGAGAACAAAAATGGAAAATTAGAAAAAGCCCCACTGAGGCAAGTCAAAGCACAACTATTCTCACTTCTTTTGGCTCTTTTGGCTGAAACACAAGGTTCCTAAACATTCTAAGGTAACCACATGACTTCTGTTACCATTAGTGAGAACCAAGTGCGGCTTATCCTACTTTGAGAGATTATGGTATTAGTTTTTATTAATCCATTTCTTTAATTAGAAGAATCTTGATCCACATATCACTTTCATTATCTGTGAACTAAATTTCTGCAAGATTAATCAAAAATAGCTTTTTATATAGTGCACTGCGCTTTACCAAATACGAGGGCATAGTATTACTCCTTTGCTTTCAGATTTAATTACTCTCTAATTCAATTGTCTATCCCTGGCTAATGGTTTTCCCTAGGAATTCAACTTCAGTTATCTTCTGACCATCTTTTACTTTAAATGCCAAAAGATTACTTCTTTTTCACTAAATTGCTGCTCATTATCTCCTATCCCAAGAAACAATCTTTTAAAAGGACTCTCAAACTGAACAAGAGATAAGAAAAGTTACATTTAGGTACAAGAGGAAAAAAAAAATATTTAACTTCTGGACCTGTGAATTAGAAGGAGGAGAAAAATACAGTGCATGCTTATCTTCACAGTGTTTGCTACTTCACTGTGCCCTTGACAAAGATTCTGTTTCACCCAAGTATTTCCATTTACATGAGCTGTTTGATTTAATAAAACTCCCAGTCACTGTAAAAGAATGCAATATATGAGGACTGCGTAACAGAAATAAAAAAAAATTTATCTAATAGTGGGGTTGTTCACAGGTGCTAGATCCTCTAACCTCTCCACCTGCATAAAAGAAGTCTAAATTAATTCAGAAAACATTCCCTTCCTGAGTTGACAGAGTATGTTTTTCTAAAGATGTTTCCATCCAAGAAGGAAGGAATTCGACTGTTCAAGCATGAATTAATTTGGAAAAGGCCAGAGACCTGAGTTAGTCCTAGTGGGTTTAGTAAAATTAAAAATAAACCCCATTTTTTCTGGAGATTACCCATTAGTTATCTCCTGAAATTTAAAGCAACATATCAACACTTAACAGACATCATTGCTACAATTCAAGCAATCAAAAAGCCTCTTACTTTTAATCTCAAATTAATTTTAAGAATTATTGAAAGAAGACTTAATTACAGAAAGAGCACCCCTTGAAAATATGCCAGTGTGTTGCTCATATATACAACTGCATGCAGCGTAACTGACTGTACATGTAACAGAAGCCTGAAGAAAGATGAGACAGTCCACTACCTTCAGATTACATTTACTATTTAGTTATGGTAACATCAGGATGAAATTACTACTCATGAATATTTGAAAGAGAGCATAAATTTAAAATACATAAATGTTTATAAAAGTTTGGCAGTTATAAGGATTTTTAAAGCACTGATATATCTGAAATTAACAGAACGTGTAGAAATACTGTTAAACAGAGCTGCACAGCAAATAACACTCTGAAGGACAAACTCTCTGCCTGCATATTTCAGCTGTTATCAGCTCCCATTTAGCTTGTGATCTTCTGTAGAAATACTTAGAAGAGGAAAGTATGATTTAAACTAGGAAGTAAGCTTTGTGAATCTGCTGCTCCCTTGGGATGCCATGAAGCTCTAAGAGCAGAGCAAGACATAATACACAAAAGCACATAGCAGAGATTTAAAATTCAGGACTAGACTTGAAGTTTGACAATGAATTTGCAGTGAGAATGTTCATGAAAGAGCCAGACTATATTAAAAACAATTAAGGATGGTAAAATCCAGCTTTATGCAAGCGAAATATTGCTTCAGTTTGTGAGCAGTCCCACAGCAATCAATGGAGAAGTGCTAAAATACCATCATGAGTACAAGAGGCCCTTGAACACCACATAGTTCAACAAAACTTGCCTGCCAACCCTACAGATTTTGACAGAAAGCAACCTCCTTTATCAGTCATCTGAATTTTTCTACTTATTCTACCAACGGCACATCAACTGATAAAATTCCCAAGTTTGAAAGCGACCTGTGTGCCACAAGCCTTGCATCTGGGAGCAATTTCATGTCATAAGCCCTGTCACCGCCAAGAAAGCGAATTGTTGGCTGCACCGATGTCCTTCCCTCCTGAACAAACGAGGCAGACAGGTAACGAGACACCACAGCAGTGCATCTCAGGGAGGCAGGAGGCTTGAGATTTCAAAGGCCTGTTGACTCAACTTTCCATTAAGTCCAGTTTCATTTCACAATTCAGGTGTCGCGATCTCCATCTCCTCCCACCAGTGTAGTGCAACATAAAGCATGCGCTGTCTATCTGCCAACACAAGAAGCGGCAGCAGCTCTTGTGCCAAGGATGGACTCTCACTGGCAGAGAAGCTAGAATCCTCGTTCTTCTTTCTACGTTGTGCTAAGTAAGTGGATTTGGATGTTACAAAGGGTGGCCTAGCAGGCTCCCCTTACCCTGCACCTCTTTTTTTCTGACTTACAGCCAGAGATTACAAACTCCCTGGCACAGGCTGAGTAATGCTGATCCTGGATGGATGCCGCATTCACACCACAGGAAAACCCACGTAACTGCTACACCAAAGAGGAGGCAAGGAGCACCCAGTAAATGTTTCCTAAGTTCAGGGACTCATTCTTCTCAGACGTCCTTCTACAGTTTGACTCTGTGAATGGTCATCTTCAGCCTCGGATTCCCTGAACCCTTCCCACAGCTGCAACACACATCAGAGAACAAAACAAATCTGCACCTAACCTGCCACATGGAAGTCATGGAAGTTTTGCCCGGCGGCAAAAACAGTAACAGCTGGGGTTGAAGCGGAGAGGCAGCTGGACAAACTGGCTGAGCAGAGTGTTAAGAGCTTCCTGCAGTACTTCACGGCTACTGGAAGCAATGTAGAAAACAGGAGAAGTTCGGCCGAGAGACTAATGCAGCTGCCTCACCAGCCCCCAGACTAAAATGTGCACGACAGTTTGCAGCTTCATCTACTGTACTGGACAACAGCAGGCACCCACAGATGGCAAGTTACTTAAGCGTATAGCCACGGCTCAGATTTCACCTACTAAAAGATAAGTTCCTAGTTCTGCAAAGCTGAAGTAAACCTAAGAAGACAAACAGTTCAAACAATAACTCATTAAACACTTGTGAACTGGGAGTTGTGTTGCTTTTCAAACCATAAAATGAATAGATTGCAGCTACATGACTCCTAAGATCTATGGAATCATTTTCAACTCTTATAAAATTAACAAGGGAAGAGTTTGACACTTACACCACCACTGTTGTCATAAGCCTTCTCCTAATGCTCTTCTCTATCAGAGATCTACACTCTCCTGTAGACTCCACTTATAGTCAAAAGACAGGCACAACCACGTACCTGGGCTTATAAAACTCCGGAACCACAACTGGCTCCATAAGTTGCATCTTGACTATTTTGAAAGAACTAATTTCCCAACTCGTTACTACACTGCAGTCAAATACGTGCTAACTTCAAGGAAAAAAAGCATTTTCTACACAATGACATCATAACATTAAAAACCAAAACTGTACAAGCAATTATGTGTGTTACAAAAGTAACGAGAATTTAATTAATCTGTACTCATGATAAGCCCTCTCTCCTCCCTCTATCTCTACAAAAACTCACTCAGCTAATGCAAAGGTCAGTTTCCTACTTTAAAATATGAAGCACTTCTCAGTAGCTCATGAAGAGGCACACAGATACTGATTTTCATTGAGAAATATTGACAATGAACTACAGGCTATTGGAGTACAAAAATCTCACCCACGTCTGACAAGTGGGAAATAATACACATTCAAAAAGTTTTTTTCAAAATACATTTTTAATACAACTTACTTGAAGTTTTGCTAGCTGAGCTGTGCGAGACACTATTTTGTTGTAGGGGTCAACAATTTTGACTCTAATTCTAAAAATAAGAAGAGAGAATTATTTATAGCAGTATTAATAAATAACATGATAGAACAAGTAAGAATTTATACTTTCTAATGACACAAAGAATGGCATACCTATCAACAGTACTTTGTAGAGCACCAATTCTAGTCTGCATCATTTGGAGGACACCTGCAAAATAAAACAGATATTTTTACACTGAACACTTGGCAATTATAGAAAGAACTATTCTTCAAATCCTAGTAACTACTGCAGACTACTTTAGCATTAAAAAAAAACCCAGCAGTTTCCTCCTTTACAACAAAGCATTCAAACACGTTGAAATTAACAAAACACAGCATATTTGAAAATAAACTGAGCATTATGGAAATGACTGAATGTTATAGGAAATTCACTGGTAGAGAACACAGACCTACAAAAGAAGTATCACTCTGAAATCCATCTTTTGTTAAGTTTCAAATAATAGTTAGAGAAAGTTGCTTTCTAAATGAATGACAATTTGGACGGCTGTTCAAAGGCGTATAACCTGGTACAAACACCTGAACGCAATATACAAAAATGGCACAAACTGTTTATTGTTATTCATTTAACATAGTGACTAGGCAGTTCGCAGAAACCAGCGAAGAGGACTGAAAAGGCAGCCAATTCTATTTCAAGGTTTTCTTCCAGTGCATAAGCATCTTCAGCAAAAAGTAACATATCAATGCCACTGTGAGGTCATCTAACTTAGATTACAAGCAGAGCAAACTACCCTAACCACGTTTGTTCCAGATTAGTTTGGCAAAGCAGCACAAAGAAAGCCCACAAGCATGCTTGCTATTTTTTTGCTAAATTGCAAACGAAGTAGTCAAGGGTAGCAGTCCTTTCTGCAATATGGAATCAGCCTGCTGAGAACTTAATTAAGTTACAAATAAGCAGGCTCACAAAATTATTTTTGTTCCAATTACTGTTAGCATTCTCAAACACACTACCGTTTTGTAAAGCCCTGTTTACAAGCATGTCATCATCAAAATGGATAAAACTGAAATATGATGCAGTAAGATGGAAGATAAACAAAACTAGGGCTAATGGTGTTATTCAGCTTGTGCTGTACTGGGACTGTACCTCACATATTTTGCATAAAAACACAAACTCCCATCTCCCCCATATTTTAGAATTATTAACTTGGCTTAGTGACAGACTCAGGAGTTCTCTGACATTTCTACACGGAACGCTAGGCACACAGTTCTCACCCAGCAGCGGATGAAGGTACGAGATACAGTAAAAAGTTGGCAAATAGGCTGAATCTTCTACTCTACACTGCAAAAACGGGGAAGGGCCGCTAGCATGACATTGCTGCATCCACAACTGTGACATTGCTATGAAGCATACAGCAGTCCCCTTGCCAGAAGGCAGAATTAGGATGGCTGAAAAGGCAATCTACCCTCTCCATCTGCCGTGCAAGATACAGGATGATACTATTTAGCCTGTCTTGAGCTCACGAGTAGCTCGAGATACCTATTGAGCTACCTAAAGACAGAAAAACAGATGGGACCTAAAAAAGAAAGGGCTGGACAAGCTGGGTACAGCAATGTGAAATTTTTAATAAGATTCGCTTTCACACATCCAAACGATTGGGCACGCTGTGAATTAGCCCTGTAGTCTTCACTTGCTAACTCGCTTCATCAACATCCCAAAAGCTACGTGTTTCTACCTTCATGATTAAAATCTCTATTGGCATTTATCTTCTCTTTTTCTTACAAAGCTTCACTCAGTGTTTTCTTCCACAGTGACAATATACCACATGTAGCACAAGCAAGGCAGAGATAAGGAAATTTTGCAAAAGTTAAAACATCACCTTTGTGCGCACAGACATTTGATTTTCCCGGCCACTGCAGACCAAAGTTTCTACTGATGTCTCAAGTATCAAATGCTTTTCAGGATTAGAACCTCTGCATGCTTTTCCTTCCCTCACACACAGAAAAGGCCTCTTAAGGAGTATAACCCAAAGTAAATGGAGAAATATCACCAAATTTGAGGTGAATTAGATTCTAATTTTACTTTAGGCTATTAGCTGTAAAATATTCATTATTTACCATGCCTGCCTTATAGAAATATTTTATAACTGAATAGTTGTTTTGAAGTACTATGATTCTTTCCTTGGAGCAATTTTAGGAAGGAAGGCTTTCAGAAACAACCATGATTTCAGAAAACACAATTCCACTGAGCACCAGCTGCTTAAGATTGTGAGTTGGAGGTACTTATCAATCACAAGACTGACTACCGATTCCTGTCTTCTTATTTGGAGGATGAGCATAGATTCCAGTCTTCTTCTGATTGATTTTCCAACTGTTTAAAAAGCTATTCAGGAGCTACCATTGCTAGATTATATAGACATTTACTTATTTTTTACAGCTCTATACAAATGCTAACCATCAAATACTGTATCCAACAACATCCAAAGACTAAGGTGATACTATAACTGTCAGTAACCAGAAACCCTCGTTATGCCAAAACCTGGAAGCAAAAGAAGGAATAAAGGCAAATTACTTAGCAAGTTACAAAATGGAAGGGCAAAAGAGGATATACCTGGATCACACTATGTAAATTAACATGTTATAGAGGTAAATATCTCTCTGCAGAGAGAGGGAAGAAAAAAAAATTAAGTTCCCAGAAAGTGACAAAGAGCAAAATGGCAGCTCTAATGAACTCCAGCCATAAGAACGATATACTGCAACCACTTTTCTATACATAGTCAATGGTTCCTAAGCAAGACCTTTGAAAGTCAGCAGTTTATGTTAAATTCCAGATCCCAAACAGCAGAATAACACAAAGATATGTATTTAACTTAGTAGCCCCTTACCAGGAAAAAAATATCTCAATGCAGTTCAGATCATGTGTTAAAGCCTCTTTGGTTAAGCTTTGCAAACCGTGCAACTCATGCATACACAACATGCACAAACTCAGTACTCATGGCAACAGATATGAGCTAATGTTGCAACAAAATCAGGCTTACTTAGAAAAATATACTAAAAGGTCAAAAAGGCTTGATTGCTAAAGTTGCTCGGAACTGATTAAAATACATTTTCCTATGAAAGAGTTACTCCAGAGAAGTACCAGCCAAATATTCTCCCTGGAGCTCCATCTACTGACATCAAAAAAAAGCTGCCACATGTTACTCCTCAGAAGTAAGATCTGTAGTTTTAACATTAGGGACCAAAGTTGGCATGACTGACCTTCCCCGCACAGATATTAAAAATGCTTCTTCCCCTGTAAGAAGTAGCAAGCATAACATAAAAGTATTTACCTTCCAAGGATTCAATTCCAGTTGCTTGGGCCAACAGGTCTTCATGTCTTGCAACAACCTTAAAAAAAAAATCAGAATAATCAACATAGAAAAATGGGGATGTGTACCTAAAAGGAACATGAATATAATATTCCTACACTAGGCATTAAAGTATCATCACCCCTACATCAGGCAGACACAGGGAAAAGCTGCCACACCTTAAAGACGAAAAGGTTTTCAGAACACATTTTAATTCACAAAAGCAGCAAACTCAGAACAAGAGCACTAGTAACTGCAGTGTCACTGACATCTTAAAGTCAGCAAAGCAATCCCATGTCAACAGACCTTCATACATAATAAAAACTGTAAATGCAAGCTTATTGATCACACAGTAATAATGTATATTCACATCTTTTAATGTTTTCTATTTATGACATTTATAAAGAATTCACCAACCGGAGCAGGGAGAAGAAATAAGCAGGTTTGAAACTAGGCACAGACCCAGCATGCATTCTCATTGCAAGGTCCACTCTAGATCTGTGATATCTGTGCAGATCTTCTCAAAAAGCCTTTTACTATCCAAACTCAGACACCTTTCTGAAGGTGTGGAGGTGTGTTAACACAGGTTATATCTGCCCAGCTAAAGGTAAGCCTTAGAGCCTAGGCCACTCTCCAGCATAGGATGAAAGGGTACAAGCTAAACCACTTCCAAACTTCTCACAGTTGTCACAGGCCAGTGTTCCTGATAGCTAATCATTTGGAAAGGGTGAAGTAACACCCTTACAAGGAAGAGTGCAACCTCCATGTATACAGAGATTGGCTGCAGAAACAGAAAACAAGGTAGTATATGGCTTCTTGGTACAAGTATTAAGAGTGGGCTTGAATAAGTTAAGTATGGTTTAAACTTACTTGTAAATGAAGCTCTTTATCCAACTGACTAATACCTTGGGCAAGTTTTGCTAGTTGCTCAGCTATCACAGCCTGATGGATAGACTGGGAAGTGTAAGCTTTCACATCAAAGTCTTCTCTGAAGAAGTCAGCATAACATTCTGAAAAAGATTTAGGTTTTATCTTCACACTTTAGAAGAGCTGAGTATTATTATGGACCTAAAGCATATAGTTCTCCGACCTTCAGTTTCTCGAAACTGAGCAGCATATGTTCTCTACGGCGCGTAATACAAATGCCACACTGATTTGAAAAGAGACTATGTATTGCTAATTGGCCGGGGTGGGGGGCGTCCTGCAGAAAAGGGACACAGGCACCAACAGAAGGATAAGCTTATTTTACTGTCTATTTCAAAGTACTACAAGAATGAGGTAATGCAAACTTATTACACTCTAGTTTAAGCAGCAAGGAGAACAAGCAGGGTAGTGTTCCTAATCAGTATTATATGCAGTTAGCGATAGTTATTAAGAAAGATACATCACCTATTGCCCTAATATCATCATTCAGATCTGCGGTCGCTGGGGAGCCCCTGTTGCAGCGAGGATTCTGGAGAATCATTCCAACAATTGGGAAGTCCACTCATAGGTGAGGACGCATGCAGTGCGTCCACTCATGGGTGAGGTCTCCAAAGTCGCTGCAAGAGGGTCCAGCTTTTATACTATTAAATAAACAACCTTACATAACTTCAAACATGGGAACATCTGGTGTTGTTCGCTCCACTGGATTCCTCCCACAGCTTGGCCAGGGCTAAAGGAAGAATACAAGGGAGTCTCCCTATCTATTTTCGTCCTTAATCACATATTTGTCACTCAAGACAGGCCTCTGGTCTCATGGTCTTGTAACATACTTCTAACAAAGCAAAAGGGGTAGCTGGTTTTCCCAGCCTTGCATCTGGCCTTTAGCTAAAGAAGAATCACGCTGCTGGTTCCCATCGCACATTTAGTCTTACAGTAACACTTTTACAGATTGGCATTAGAATACATATACACATATATATGCTAAAAGATATTGTCAATACATCACATATGTGATTAATACTATATAGACTGAGGTTGTGAGGTTCATCTGTAGGTCAACTTCAGTGCAGGGCCTATGATTTAGGCCCTAGCACTACAGACTACAATCAAGAACAAGTCTGGAGCTGATGACTTGATGGAGGGGTCGTAAACCATAGAATCATAGAATGGCCTAAGCTGGAAGGGACCTTAGAGATCATCCAGTCCAACCTCC